TATTGTTTATTTCACTACTATTATCCTTTCAGTTCTGTTTGAGTATTCTGGCCTATCGGAATCCGCAGTGCTTCAGCTTTAAGTCTAGTGCTTGTTGATCAAAGTTCAGCATGAAATCTAGTGCTTGATATTCAACTTTTTACTAAAAGGATGTCTCAAGCCGGTATATATATATGTGCCATTAGAATTCTCGTGTTCCACGTTCATTACCATATAAAGTTCTATCACTGTTTTTTTACATCGTTTTCTCTCACCCGTTTTCACACAACCAAACCCCCTCGACTTGTTTTGCAGTGTAGTTGGGCAATATTCCGCGATTTGCTTAACTCCTAATTCATCAATCTAACATGAGACTGTCCAATAACCGGTTCTTAATGTACGTTGTTAACTTTTGTCCGGTAGTGTGATTAAGTGTCCCTGATGCAATTAATGGTAACCTACTAACCACGCTGAAAACCATCACCATTCATCATCATTGTACAGCGTAATACAGTGAAGCGAACTTCACTGATGGCTGCCAAACTCATGATGCATACAAGATAAGTGAGAATGTGCAAAGAGGACAGGGATTGGGCCTATTTTTAGGGACGGAGAAAGAAAGCGAACTTCTATGGTCAACACAGAGTACACAGCCCAACTGTGCATGCATACTAGTTCAAGCAGTTTGGACTGATAAGAAGTGAGAGCATGATCGCCATTGCTGTCGGTTCGAAGCCATGACCTTCAGTGTCTCCAACCACGCGGTTTCGGACTCTTTTGGACCCCAAACCGGAAGAGGAGAGACATATATTCTACCTAGTCGCTCTGTGCATTTCTTCATGCCTTTCTCCACGTCATCTGCTGGCCTCCACGTGGCTTTTTCCATCCTTTAACAGCCACTGCAAACAAGGCGTGCTGCGGTAGGCGACTGTCGGACATACGTAAAACGTGTCCTAACCAACGGAGCCCACCGAGCTGGATTCGATGAGATAGCGGGTTCTTGTTTGATGCATTCCCAAAAACCCGACGATTTACTTCTAAGTTACTAGCCCGCTCACTCCATTCCACTTACATACGCAAAGCGTGTCCTCATCAACGGAGCCTAATGAACTGGATTCGATGCAATTGTGAGTTCTTGTTCGATGCATTCTCAAACACCCGACGACATACTTCTAAATTACTAACCCGCTCAGACCATCCTACTTGGGCCAGACTACGTAAGCATCGATTGTCGAACACTGTTAAACGACGGGTATCTCCTACCCGCAAATTCAAGGTCTCACAACCGTGAAGCAGAACTGATTGTACAGTGGCGCAGTATACGCGACTTTTCAAATTTGGTGAAACGTCACGTTACCACCACAGGTGTTTTAGTCCTGCGTACGCTGCTCGAGCCTTAAAAATGCGGGCGGTTATCTCCTTTGATGCGCTACCGTCGTTGGTCACGCAGCTACCCAAGTACGAGAA